CTCCTAAGTGTTTCTATCCTAAGTTCTCTCCATAAAAAGGCAATTCTTAGTAGGTCTTCTTTGTGGCAATCAGTACTCTTTTTTAACTACTGTGATTCCTTTTTAAGCGTCTCTCTTTGATGGCTCCCTTTACCTTGGCACCAAATTCCTGTATAGAGGTAGTGTTCCCCTTCAGAAAGAGGCTGGTTTTGTTCTATTTGTCACGGGAAAGGGAAGTGGAGAAAGAAGACACATTGAGATTAGCATCTCTCTTCCTACCCGTCACTAACCACAGATACCATTGCCTTGGTTAAGTGTTGGGAGGGAAAACTTTCATACTTGTCTTATTAGGGAGGCCAAAACTATAATTAAGACCACAGTACTATTATTGATATTAGATTGGCTTGCTTCTGGATTTAATGAGTAGTTTGTTCCTGAGAAAACAAAGTACCAGGTAGTACCCAAAGGTCCAAACACATCAGTCACTTCCTACATGTCAGTGAGCCCCCTTGAGGGGAGAAGAGATGTCTCTTGAATTCCCCCAGCAACTTCTACAATGTAGTAAGCTGTACTGCTCAATAAATGGTTCGCATGAGAAAAAAATAGTTCTGGAAATCAAGGGCTCCTTTTTCCTCCTGAAGACCATGCCATTTTCTCCATGACAGATGTCCTTGCTACATGACTGGCTATAGTTCTCGATCCCTCCAGTTTGCTGAAAATTACATATTTCTGACTTCTACCGTCAGTTGCTTACTAAATACATCTTAAGGGAAAAGGAGTCCTCCATAGTTACTGCACTGTTTTAACTGATAAGTTACTATTGATACCATGTGTGGTTTTCCCACAATTTATCTATAAAATCACTCCCTTAGCTTATTGAGTGTCCATAAGTTGTAAAGTTTCTTTTGGAGCAAAGGAAACTACCACACTTGCGTGCTCTAACCATGGAATGTGCTCCATCAGGGTGAACTGGAAATACTAGTGTTTCTACCCTGTCAGCTTAGACTAAATTATTTGGCCAAAATAATAGTGAAGACCTCATGAACTCGCATAAAATATTAGGTACACTCCAGCTGATTTGATTGAGCCAACATCTCTAAGGTCATTTTGCTTTAAGATGTTCAAAGGATCAGGATGTTAGGGCAGCCAAATCATCACATTTCTGACCCATTACAGAACTCAGACAATAAGACAAAGGAGCAGATAAGAACCTGGGAGTATAACAAGTAAAAAGAGAAAGAAAAGTTGATTTAGAATTAAGTGGACTTGGAATTACTGGCCACTGCTCAGCTATTTGAGAACTTGACTCACTCCTAAAGAGAAAGCTGTGCCAGCTCCCCAGCAGCAATTGCTGCCAGGTGCTCCAAGCAGCTCCTGTGTACAACCAGGTGACTTAGAAAGTGCGTTTATGTCAGTCTGGTCTACTGACTGCTCTCAAGAACTGCACTGTTCTTCCCCAAAACCAGACTCAAGCCAAGCAAGATTGCCCATCCCAGTGACAGGAAATGGCAGATGTGATTAATAATTTCTTGTCATCTAAATCACTCCACTGTTAGGTAATAACTTCTAGCTCTCCTTAGTTGTCTTGTGTCTCCTGCAAATATAATTTGATTTTTATCTTCTAATATTTTACTAATGATGAAACTGAGAGCCTAAGTCACTTAGTTGCATCTTATTCTCAAGTCAATTATCAAATGTGCTTAGTCAGAGTTGCCTTTGAAATTCTCTTAAGTCATCCATAAAGTACATGGTATACAATCTTTTACATTAGCATTTACATGTCACAAAGACTCACGTGCCATCTTCTAAAAAATAAAAAAAATAGTATTCTCCCAGTGTCAAAATAGATCCTTGTTTCTTCAGCTAAACACCAAATGAAGTAGCTGGCTTCACATTTGGGGACAACGTTGTTTGAAAACATTATCTTTAGACACTAGAATCACTCTCAGTACAGCAAGATGCTCAAACTATTACAACACAAAGGGAAGCGAGACCACCTGAGTACACAGGTAGCTCAGCCTGGGGCTGCCCTCACTGAATACATGCTGAGCACAAACGCATGCCCTATTTATTTGGCACCTTTTTGTTCCAGTGCTGTGCAACTGTGTATTTAAGATGATGCAACTGCACTGCAGCTTTCATAAGGTCCTACCACCACGGCAGGGATTCGAGCAGGCCCGGGATCCAGGTTTTGCAACACCCCACTCTGGGAATTTCCACAAAGTCTCACTGTTCTCAGTTCGTTTTCTTTCCCAGTGCCTTGCAAAACATACCATATGTTATGTCTTCAGTTACTTGAGTGAATATGTGGCAACCAGATTTAGGAAAGGTATTAAACTGAACATTTGAAAATCTAAATTTCACAAACTCCCTATTAAAACCAGGCAAGATCTCAAAATATTTTCCTTCACCACCTTATTCCTTGCCACAAGGCGAGGCCCTAATAGTCAGTAGGGAAAAAAGAACTCATTCATCTGTGTAAGGAATGGAAATGCTATGTGCAAAACCCAAGACTGGAAGTTTAAGAAAGGCCTCATTTGCTCCAGTACAGTATATAGTATTCCTTCAGGAGGAATAACTCAGAGAAGGTATTAAAAATGTGGGCGACCTCAGGAGAAAAACAAACACCAGCATAGTATCTAGGGAGTGAACTGCTTAGTGGAAATGAAAACATTACACATGTGTACATAGGCTCTATGAAACAACATGTACAGACAACTAGAAAAACCACACAGCTTACATATAGTCATACAAGTGAAGATTGAGTAAATGAGTTAGAGAAATAAAATTGTTCCTTTAAATGAGAAGTAACTGTTAAATTACATACAACACCAAATCAGAAGAAAAGTCTAAAGCATAACTTTGGTAACTTCATTTCATAAAATTCAATCCTTTTTGATGATTTTAAACAAGGTTTTTTCTCTCCCTCTGTGGTTTGGGAGGGTTACAGTTTAGGGATAAACTTTTCAAGTTCAATGTATTAAGTTTTCGGCATCAATTGTAAAGTCTTATATTTCACATGTCAGAGTAATCTGCACTAGTATTTTGAGTAACCCTCCCTTTATGGTCAGGTGTGACAAAAAGTCTTCTTAAATCACAATAACAGGAGTTTTTCAAACATTTTTTAAAGGGAAAAGAAAGGCCGGGCATGATAGTTCACACCTGTAATCCCAGCACTTTGCGGGGCCCAAGGCAGGAGGATTGCTTCAGCCCAGGAGTTCAAGATCACCATACCCCATTTCTACAAAAAATTTTTTTAAAAAAATTACCCAGGCATTTATACCTAGAGTAAGATGCCAGAAAAAAAAAAAAAAATTAGCCAGGCATTATGGTGCATACCCATAGTCCCAGCTACTCGGGAGGCTGAGATGGGAGGATTGCTTGAGCCCAGATAGAGGCTGCAGTGAGCTACGTTAGTGCCAATGCACTCCAGCCTGTGTGACAGTGAAACTATGTCTCAGGAAAAAAAAAAAAAAAAGCACGTCTTGTGGTGCTTCTTCCCACCGCTCCAGTGATCTGTGCAGCAAGAGTTCCTATAAAACTCCCAGGGAAAGAGTAACTTTCAGTGCCACAGACCCCATCCACAGAACAAATTTTCAAATACACCTTAATACCTATGATTGTTCTGGGTTTCTCCAACATATATCTCAGTGAAGATCATCTTGCTTGAGAACTCTGAGCTGCTTTTCATTGCTGTAAGAACATAAAACTAGAAGAGGGTATCTGAATCGTGAATGGGAAGTCAGCCTGCATTCATTGTGAAGCAGTTTATGTGGCGAAGTTGAACTTAAGAACAGATCTGCTGGAAGGCTCCCACAGGTAGAAATGGTCCTGTCAGCAAGGTTATGTATCACTCCGGAGAGAAGCCCTAAGTCCAAATGAACCTTGTGTACAAGGCATAATAAAAAGGGACCTAATCTTCTAAGTGAACTTCATCCCCAAAGCCACTCTGGGAGATCACACACACAGTGACAATGCTGTCATGGTTGATCACAAGGAATCCCTCTTTGGAAACAGTTTTCTAAGCTTCTAGCATTTTGAATACTCTCATGGTAAATCTATATCCTTTGAAGCTGTAGTTCATTCTGCTAACAATTCAGTCACCCAAGATCAAATCTTGCGAGCCAGGTTAGGTATGATCTAGGTGGATGCATAAATTTTCATTAATATCAAAGAGAATGACCACAGAATAATGACAAATTTTGCATGGTTCATAAACTGGTTCCAAAAGTGATTGCAGAACTGGCCAAAAAAGCAGCATATTTGAGCCAATATTGACTATTTATTGGACAATTTGTAAAGCACTGTGTAACACATCACATACATTATCTCAATTATTTCTATGAAAACCCTATGAGGTAGGTATTATGTCCACATGTTACAGATAATGCAAGAGTTTCAGAAAGAATAAGTTGCTTGCCCATGATCACACTGCTAGGGAAAAGTCAAACCATAATTTGATCCTAATCTGTCTCACCCACAATGACAACTTTGACAAGGATAAAATGTATCTCCATGTATGAGAGATACGTGTGTTCAAGGAGATGCAAATCACTTTATCACATATAGAAAAGAATCAGTGTCACCACTGTCTACAAAAAGGCACTCTAATTCTTTCAGTTTGTTGATTCTGAACATGCCACGTCTTTAGAAACGGCATTATCAGTGAAGCTGCCCAACAAGCCCTCTGAAACAAAACACCTAATAAAATGGGTATTGATCTATATACAGTTACTGCAAATTACCCTTTTAGGACTTTATCTTATAGCTGCATTCTGCATAGATATGTATAATAATATTGGGTTCAATGTTATCACTGCAATAGCAAAAGAACAACCTAAACATGCATCAGTAGCAGATCAAATAAATTATGGTATATCTATTCAATACAATCTTATGCAGCCAAAAATGGAACAAGGTTCCTTGTTCCTTACATACTGATACGGAATGATCTCCATTAAAAAAAAAAAAGGAAAGGGGCAGACCTCTATGTATAGTTTCTTACCTTTTGTGTTAAAAAAAAAAAAAAAAAAAAAACCCATGCACCCATGTGTTTGTTTAGGCACAGACTCTTTCTCAAAAGTACACAACAAAGTGGTAACAGTGACCACCTAAGAGGAATTAGGAGCCAGAGAACAAGGGTGGAAGAGGTCCTTTATACAAAATCACTTTGTACCTTAACCCATGGGAAAAGTTACCTATTCAAACTTTTTTTATTTTAATAATTTTTTAAAAATATGGGCTGATCAACCTTGTAACTTGTCAAATGTGTAATTTCTGACTGCAGGACAAAAAGCAAGCATTAATTGTGGAAAGAAGAAGAAATTCTTTTTTTTTTTCCTGTTGCCAAGACGCTTAAACAACTAGGCACAAGCCATCCTCCTGCCTCAGTCTCCCAAGTAGCTGGGACTACAGGCGTGCACCGCTGTGCCCAGTTAGAAATTTGCCTTCTTCAGATGCTGATTTCATTATACATTTGGGCTATACTTTTCTTATGAGAACCACTATAAAGTTATAATGTAAATACATTTTTTAATGTGAAAAGGCATAAAATTTTCTTTATAGACAACTTCTTTCTCACTTCTCCATCATATAACATCAAATGTACCTGTAATCTCAAGTATAATTCTTTTGAGGGAAAAGAGTTAGATCAATACATCATTAAAGAAAAACATGCATACTCAATAGACTGCTACTGGGAAAAAGACTATTATTTTGCACATATTTAAATTCCCCAGTTCTCGACAGGATTCTCAGAATATAGTTTTTCAGTTAATGAATAGCAAATTGATTTAATGGTTAAATTAGTAACTATGGAGCTGCCTAACAACAGTATAAAATAAATGGATAATTCGCCAGAAACTGGCTTCTAGATATTAATTTTAATTACTTTGGAATAACATAATTTAGTACCAAACATTTAACGAGCACCCATTATAATGGCTAAACTGTGAAATCAGTATTATTTGTACCTGATCAGCTATATAAAACTCATCAATGTTTCTTCTGACAAAAGGTAGTAGAATAGAAATCTCAAAGAATAAGGAAGAGACTACTCATGAAAGGTCATGTTTACTAATCGAGCACCATAATTCCAGTCCTAGAATGTCCCGTGCAGCTGGAAGGAGGATATGGGAAGAGGTGAGGATGTTGGACACGTAAGGGTCGTTTCTTAACCTGGGGCCCCATTTTTGCTCTACGGTAACACGGGGTCTAGCAAAGAAGAAAATCACGAGGCTGGAGATGAAAACAAAGGCTTTTGGTTCAGAAGGTAAAGGAGGCCCTCAAGAGCAGGAGACTCAAGTGTATCCCGAAGGCAGTGCTGGAGTCGGCCTCATGAACTAGGGGGTTTCTTCTTGGCTTCCAAGTCCTTTTTTATTTCTTCAAGTTTTTTAGCCAGGTTTGGTATCTTTAAAAAGAAAAAAGATTATTATAATTTTGCATCTACCTAATCAATATTCTTTTAACTTCTCTTCCTCCAAAGATAAATGGTTTTATAAGTTTTATTTTCCTCTGAAAGGGACCTACTAAATAGTATTTCTTAGTCTGATAACTGCATACAAAAGATATCAGAAGTTGTACTATAAGTATGCTCCCTCTCTGAAAACCAGATTCCAACTTCTATTTTTATATTACCCACTTAGCCCCTCAATCCAGTGCCAAGTAAAAGTTGTACATATAAACAATAAATGTGATATAAGTTAATAAAATCCCTGCCTAGCAACTGATATGACTGAAGGGAAGGTTGACAAAAGGAATTCCCTTTGTCATAACTAAAAGCTTTACTAACAAAACAAACCAAAAGTGAATACCATGTTTCCCTTCTTTGTCTTTTTAAAACGCCCTTCCCAGGATCCCCATTCACGCACAGTTGTACTATCCGGTTTTCAACTTCCCCCTATATAAGATGAGATTAATACAAACTCCCCACTTCACAAATCTCTGTCCTCCTTAAATGAGCTACATTATATAGATTCATCTCCAAAATTCTCACTTATCTCCACTACTGGGTAGGGAGGCTGAAAAGATTATCCAATTAATCTTTATATTCTCACTTATCATATGATTTTCTATAGAATTTTTTTTTTTTTTTTGAGACAGATTCTCACTCTGTCAACCTGGGTAGAGTGCCATGGTGTCAGCCTAGCTCACAGCAACCTCAAACTCCTGGGCTCAAGCGATCCTCCTGCCTCAGCCTCCCAAGTAGCTGGGACTACAGGCACCTGCCACCACACCCAGTTAATTTTTTCTATTTTTAGTAGAGACGGGGTCTCACTCTTGTTCAGGCTGGTCTCGAACTCCTGAGCTCAAGCGATCCTCCCACCTCAGCCCCCCAGAGTGCTAGGATTACAGGTGTGAGCCACCACGCCTGGCCTTCTATAGAATTTTAAGAACCCAACTTATATTACTCTAGGCCAGTGAGCACAGCTTAGGATCATCTAGAGAACACTTAAACTGATGGGATTTTGCCCTCTTGTGGTGATATGGGGCACAGACACTTCTGTGAGTTGGATTATTTTTTCAAATAATGGAAAACCTTTCTACAATATTCAGTACTTTTTCCTCGGACCTATAGACTTTATATATGCTGGAAGGCACACCTTACCTCAACAAAGAAAAGTCACTCTAAAAGAGTTACATGGAATCAAGGAGGTCGTGGATACGGCCACTTACGTCATAGTTCTGAGCCAGATACATTCCAACCACGTTGCCCAAAGTAAATCCAAGCTGAAAGAATAGAACAGGAAGAGTTATGCTGCATAGCAAGTTCTGTGCCTGTCTGATGCCAAACCAAAATACACAGACAATATCTTCTTCCTAAGGAACTCAGGGAAGTGAGAAGAACCTGGTGTCCACTCTAGGGCTATGTACAACATGAAATTCACATTTTTCTACTATAAACACAGAATTACCCTCCCAAAAGGTTAAAAAGCATACAAAAGCAACAACAAATGGTGGCACTGAAAAAAAATCTACCCTAAATTCTCCTTATCCCCTCACAATTCCCATAAATACTTGACCATAAGTTCTAGAAACCCAAGCCAAAGTTCAAATTTTTGTTATTGAATGCTGTAATTGTTCTTTGTCTTTTTTTGGTTATGGGTATTGTTATTCCTCTCTAAACCAAATAAGAATTATTCAATTTAATAAGTATTCAGTTAAATCACAGAATCTTAGATCATATTCACAGTTGAATCTCTCCATATTTCAAAAGAACATGAGGCCCTGGATGGGAAGGACTTGTCCCAAGTCATTCACAACAAGGAGTACAGGACAACTGACATTAGATACCCACTGAAAAACCAAAATACGTGATGACAGAAAAGAATAGGGAACTCGGACATACCACCGAGAGTACACACAGCATAGCATTCTGCCATGGGTAAAAGTCTAACAGTCAGGACACTTACGGTCTAGGGAAAATACACCTCTAACTCAGTGGCAACAGAGACAGGCATGATTTTTAAAGAACTATAAATGTTTCTCTCATTAGTGAGTATTTTTCTGAACAAAAACTGTTTCATGAAAATTTAGAGTAATCCTTACATACCAAAAGGACTAAAGCTCCTTAGCTTTGAGTTTTAATGATGATAACTCCCTATTTTACTTCTAAATAAGAGCCTCCAACTGATGCCTAATTTCTAATTTTATAAATTCAAACTGGCACTTACTTTTTTTCATCATTTTATTTAATCAGTGCTGCTCATATTTAATCAATATGCATCAAAGATGTTAAAACTGAAAAACAAAGTTATGGTGCTTAACACCATCAATCACATATGGCATGGTCAAACCTTATCTTCAAGTTGGAGGTGCAGATGGGGGAACGGAATACAGCCGGGTCCTTACTGAGCTGTAAGCTTACTAAGCTTGAAACACCAAAAGCATAATTTAAATTGGTTTGTTGTTAGTAAATTAAGAAACATAAAAGAGACTATCTAGTCTCTAATCATACACCATTTTCTGATCATGCGATTAATTAGATACATCTTGCAAAATCATATTTTTACCAACATAGCACCAAGAAAAATGATTTTTTTTTCACTCCTATGGATTGAAACCAGATAGGCAGAGGTTTTCCAAATCCAGAAAGAGTATTAAATTTGCTTAAAAGAAGAGAAAAAAATCAAATGAAAATGTTAGCTCTAACACCAAATAGAAGGAACACGAGATTGATAAAATTTCAACAAAAATATACCAGTTCTGGTTCCACCACTATCTAGCTGTGTGCCTTTAGGCAAGACACTCACCTCTCTGGAGGACTGCTGATTTGAGCTTCCTGATTTATAAAACATTACTCCACCTATGTAATGTTGCAGCTCCAACATTACAAGATTCCTAGTTCTTACCATGTGTGTCTCAAAATAAATATGGCATATCTAATCTGGCTTCAGTTTGGTAACTTCATCAGGCATCAGGGCATATGAAAAACTAGTGGTTATTTTAAAACACAAAACAAAACAAAAACCACGTGCCTCTAGACAAGTCACATCCAATTCCAGTTTCTGAAAACTACCAGATCTACCAATGGGGTATTGAAAATTAAATACACAATACAAGAAGAAAAATGTTACTCACTAAGAGAAATGTTAGGGAAAATGCATGAAGCCAGAAAAGCATATACAGTGTATCGTTCATGGCATGGTCAATAAGCAAGTTTAGACAGAAAAAAATTATATCTGAAGAACATTGAACCTGAAAAGTTAGATTGAAGCCAGATTATAGAAGGTCTTGAATGAGTCTGAAACCTCTCTGCAGGCCAAGAATGCTTAACTTCTTTCAGGCCAAGACCTGGAAGCCTCACCAGAAGCTCTATAAGCTGGATGCCATCAGCATAGTACCCCCTCCACACCACATGGTCACCCCATAGCATCCCCTGCAGAGAAGACAGTGCAGAGAGAAGTGCAATGCCTTCTTCCCAAGCCTGACACTGAATACATTACTATCACACCCTAATAGAGCCACCAGGTGATGCCTCGCCTAAAAAAGCATTAACTCTTGAAAAGAAAGCCAATTCCAAAGCAAACTGACTCTTCCCATCATGTGCTCAACCCTTCCCTAATCAAAAAGTTGATCAGCAAATAAAGCTACAATTTTTATCTGGGGATGGCTCCTGACAATAACCCAAAGTAGTTGACCATAACTCAAAGTATCTGACAAATCTGAACTATGACTCATCAAATTACATTTTCAAAAATGACACACCCAAGTTACGACATAGAATCTCAACTATATTTTCTGACAAGGGTTTAAGAAATCTAAAAGTAATCTCATTTTATTTAGCAAATACAGCTACAACTAGCATTCAAAAAGATAAGATTAGCTTAGCCAACCCAAAAATGATTTACAGTCTGTGGTGACAAAATCTGCACACTGACAAGAAAACCAAAAATTTATTATTTTATTTCTTAATTTTAGACTCAGCTAGACAAGCAGAATACTTGTGTATTCCAAGGAGGCAGAAAAAAATTCACCCTTTTTTGTGTCTTAGTCTTTAAACTTGGTGTAGAGATGTTATCAAATGTGTGTAACAACTGCTTCAATAATAAAACCCACATTCTATACATTAAAATGAAAATTTGCTGAGGATATAACCTATATCCCTTCTACTTACCACCACAGAGAAGCACGTTTTTAAGAGGTAATCTAGGTTTTACATTCAATAATCTTCCTTAGAGAATGAAGAAAGGGGGAGGGGGAAAAAGCTTTTAATGCTTTCATTGAGCCAGTAAATGAAATAGGGACATTCATGAAAAAGTCGGCCAGTGCAGAGGTAGAACTGTTTTGCCTGTTCTCAAAGAAGCTGATTCAAATATTCAAATATTTTATGACTATCTGAGAGTAGCAATGAGGCAAAAGAGGAAGATCTAAAATTAAATAAATGAAATCAATCACAAGGTATTGACTAAGTGCCTTACAGGTCCTAAAACTAAGCCATGTGCTTGGAAAATATAAGTATAAGGTGTAGTGCTTCTTCCCATGGATTTTACGATCTATTCTAGAAAGCCAAGACTAAACCACATGAAGGTGCAGTGAATACAATATAGCACATCACCAAGTGATGGTCTCAATGGACCACACAGTTTAAGTGTTTTGTATTAGAAATCTACTAATGTAATTCATATTAACATATTAAAGGAGAAAAACCATATGATCATCAGATGAGGAAACAAGATGACAAAATTCAAAAGCTAGTCACAGTAAAAACTTTTTCTCTTTTTTTTTTTTGAAACAGAGTCTTGCTCTGTCACCCTACGTAGAGGGCAGTGGCATCATTATAGCTCACTGCAACCTCAAACTCCTGGACTCAAGCAATCCTCCTGCCTCAGCTTCCCAAGTAGCTGCGACTACAGGCATGCGCCACCACGCCTGGCTAATTTTTTTATTTTTTGTAGAGACAGGGTCTCGCTCTTGCTCAAGCTGGTCTTGAACTCCTGACCTCAAGTGATCCTCCTACCTCAGCCTTCCAAAGTGCTGGGATTACAGGCATGAGCCCAGCCAAACTCTTAAACAGGAAATAGAAGGGCATTTCCTTAACCTATTAGAAAATATCACCAATACCATACTAAAACTTGAGAAGCATTTCCACTAAAAGCAGAAACAAAACTACAATGTTCACTCTCATAACTTCAACTCAAAGTCCTAGCTTACATGATGAAAGGGAAGATGGACAAATAAGAGTAATAATAAAAATTAAAAAAGAACACAAAACTGTCAATTTCTGCCTTCACTGGGGACATGACTGCCTTAGCAGTATTCCCTTCACTGGTTCACTGCCAACTGTATCTACAGACAAACTACTTGAGGTAAGAGACAGGCAAGATTGCGGGATGCAAAATCAGTATGTGAAAATTATTAGCATTGCTATATAATGGCAACAACTAATTTGAAAATGTAATTTTAAAAAGGTCACCACTCACAACAGAAAACTAAAAAGTACCTAGAAATAAATACAACAAACAAGGTGCAAGATCACTCAGAAGTTAAAAGACACATGAGACCTAAATAAATGAGGGATGGATCCTAACAGTATAAAGACATAATGGCGTGAAGATTTCAGGACCTAAAGCCATCAGGAAGGCCTCATGGAAAAAGATGGGAGTTGGTCCACGAAGAGTAGCGAGGAAGACAAAGAGCAGGATAAAGGGAAAACCACGTGGGAAGGTATGAGCACAAGAACGTCCGCAGGTTGGTTATGGATCGGTCAGATGAGCCGAGCCAATCTAAAACAAGACTCTCTGTTAAAGGGCAGTGGGAAAGGAAAACGGAGCGAGATTAGCAAAATCAAGTGAAAGTAGTTATGATGTGATGTGGAACGATGGATGCAGGCGCCACTGACAGTTTCTGAGCATCTGAGGAAGGCAATTAATCTCGATTACTCTGGCAGCTGCAAGAGGGAAGGACAGGGCCAAGGGCAGCAAAGGATACGTATAGAACTAGAGGCAATAGCCCTGCTTTGCTATGGCTTATCAGACTATATGAGGGCAGTGCCATATTTTGAGAAGTGTAACCAGCATGAACTTGAAATCATGAAGAATGGATGGAAGAAGTAGAAATGTTTAGCCTAAAGACAAGACAGAGGAGCCAAGTGGGAGGGGTTGAGAGAAGTGCCAAGATAATGTTCTTTGAGTAAAAGGTTCTCAGGTAGATTAGAATTGCTCTTTAACATCAAGGAGCAGAACTAGGTAAGGAGACACTAACCAAAAATGAAAGCGATTACCAGAGGAAATAACGAGCCTATGGTAAGTGGAGGTGACCAAACATAAACAGGTTGCCCCTTAGCAGTGAAGACTGAAGCATCAGCATGTTAGCTGGACTAGAGAACCTCAAACAGCCCTTCCAACTCACAATCTACAATTCTACACCAGCGTAGCTAATCCGAGGGTAGAGTGAAAAAGGCGTACTCTGTGAAGTTTGCAGTGGGAACATATAGAGAACTCTTCACAAGGTGATTAGTGGAAACTCAATGGCTTAAAACAATAGCTAACATTTACTGAGTGCTTGCTACACACAAGGTAGCACTCTTTTCTCATGAATTAATTCATGTTCTTCACAACCTTATAAACCAGATACTATTATTGCCCAGTTTATGTTGAGGAAACTGAGGCACAGAGCAGTTACTTAACTTGCCCAAGATTACACAGCAGGTAAATATATGTGCCAGGCACATGGTAGGAAAATGACATGGGAAATGAAGGAGAGAAATAAATTGAAGATTATGTGAACATTTCAAATTTGAGAGACTCAGGGCAGGGGAACAAAGAAAAATGTTAGGTGTAGGCTATGTAGGGGATGGGGGGGCAGGTAACAGGGCTAGACATGTGGGGTCTGAAATGGAAGGTAAGACCAGAAATGTTCAGTTCGCAGCTGAGGCCAGGAACTGGAACTCAAAGAAAAGGACTCAGTTTTGGAAGCTGTCTGCAAAGAGGTGAAAGGTGATAGCATGACAAGGCACACACTCGCTGAGGGTGGGTTTGGAGAGAAGAGCAGAGGATCAAGGACTGACCCTTGAGCAACACACGGTAACCAAGAAGCAGGGAGAAGCAGCCAGTAAAAACAGGAGAGATTAGATAGAGCAGTTCCCCAACTGGTATACCCAGATAGGATTCTCTCAGCCCTTGGAGCTATCCGCACCCAGAGCCTGTCACCTTCGCTCTGTGCAGGTTCCTCTATAAAAACAATTTCGATGCGTTATAATGTGAAAGAATATTGGAAAGTACTGGAATATGGGATCCCAAAGCTAAGGGAGGAGGGATTAAAGATGACATGATTTAAGAGTACCAAGTGCTGGGGACTTCAAGAGGTAAGAAAAGCAATAGATTACCAGGAATAGTACCACAGGTAGTGCGCACAAGGCCCCCAGCAGTGCCTTTGTACGTCTTTGTAATAGGCTACTCTTCCAAAGCATCCTTAAAATAGCTGTAGCTAAACCATACTACAATTAAGGAAGCTACTACAGCAAAATCACAGGAACAAGGTGTCAAGACAGGGACAATGGGTGAATATTTTAATCGGAAGACGAATGAACAACGGAAGGAATATATAAGCAACACAATCAAGTACACTGGTTTTCAAACTGTGCTCCACGAACAACTGTAGGAAACATCTTAGAGGGTTCCAAAAAGAGTGATGACAATGCACATGCTTAACTTGTGACTGTTCCATCACTTCCAAACCTTTCTCATCATCTACCCTTCTGAGGGAAGCTAATTCCCATTTCTGAGAAGAAACTAAATCGAGAGTTCAACTGACACCCTGCAAAAGAAAAACCAAACAATATCTGAATCCTTGTTAAGTGCCACTGTTTTTAAGTACTTTAATGTGTTATTTTTAATCCTCACAACGAAATCATGAGGGGAGTTCCCATTTTCAGATGTGGAAACTGAAGCATAGGAAATTTAAATAATCTGCCCAAGCTCCCACAGCTTGAAAATGATGGAGGTAGGGTTCAAACCCAGAAGTCTGATTCTGGAATCTAACCTCTTAAATACTAGGACATGAAGGTAATTGTTTTATAGATGAAATGACTGAAAACAGACAGACAGACATGTCCAACTTCACAGAGTTAGTGAATCATTTGACAGAGGTGGAATCGATGTGAAAAGTATAACTACTTTCAAAGGACCAGAGGGTGAGAGAATATGAGTGTTCCAGTTACTTCCAAGCTAGGAATTAATGGATAGCTTCAGCATCTCTCCTTAAATGCTGAGAATTCTGAATTCTCAAATCAAAATCCATGTTTCCACACAGCAAAAAAGTTTATTCCAACACCAAATAAACGAATTCTGCAAAAGAACTTAAAAATAGATTGTAAATGAATCACGTCCTCCCAGTTTATCAATGAGCAACAGATGTAGGTGGTTCAATTATATCATCCTACACTTGGGGCTAAGTGATACTGCTTTTAACCTGTTTCTTGCAAGTAAATGACTGTAATTATTCCTAATGCTCAAGCTAACACCTAATAAAGACACTGGAGAAACTCCCAGAGGCAAAGGAGCAGCCCTGTGTTAGTTGGGCAGTTTGGGTCAAGGATACTCTGTCGCATTTCACAATCAATTACCATCTTTCAAGAGGACAGAAGGGACACATTTTGTGTTTTAATTTCTTTGATAAAAAAAATATAGCATCTGGGAAAGAATCTCATTTCCAGAGCACCAGATCTCCAATGAACATCTGACAGATATTAGAATATCTGCCTTTTATAAGAATTAGGGATTGAAAGCATCAAGTTTTGAACGCACAAAAACTTGGTAGAAAAACTTTCACTTGAAAATTTGATTGGCAAATCTTCCTGGAACTTTCACCAGGCAATCCTTGAAATACACTGAGTTTTGCCAGACAACTCGTATTTAACTCAAATAAGGAGCCATGAGAAATAATCTGCTTACCCACGCTTACTCATTTTGGGAAAAATTACTTGTATACCAGCGTCTGACTCACTTCTCAAAGTCTGAAAGGTCTGATGAGGGCTCGCTAAGCCTCTAACTCTGACCTCGTGCGATGGCTAATTTAAGGTTTATTCCTGGACCTCCCGCCCTCCTACTTGCTTAAAAGACCAACCAGCAGAGCTCTAAGTCGGGGACAGGGTCTGTGTCTATGTCGGGAGCGCACAAAGGGAGTCAACTACGAAAAGTCATTAAGGACGACACAAGCTTTAATACGAGGATTACACAATGAACGCAGGGCGCGGCACACAATAGGTAGCTTCGAAGACGCACACTCTGACACCTCAAACTTTTAGGGACTTGGATGGCTGCAGAAAAGTACTGGCAAAAGGATTTATGGGGAGGCAGAAAGAAAACCCCATGGGTCACCCTGAGAGGCGCCGACCAGGCGCGGGGGCTGAGGGGACCGCGGGAACTACACCTACGTCCCCCGGCCAAGGCCGCCTCGGGGGGAAAGAGGGGCCCGAGGTGAACCCCAAGCCGCAGACGCTCTCCTCGGCAGCTCCACTCACCAGAAACTGGAGCATGATGTCGACGAGGAGGGCGCTAAGGGAGGCTGCAGCTCCGCCAGCTGGTCCGAGCCTGCCACCCCGGCGCTAGGGGCGGAACCCGCCGTCGACTTCCGGGTCACGCCCCGCCCTGCTCCTCCTTCCTCACCCGCACCAGGAAGCAACTCACAGCGTTCCGGCGTCCCCTGGCGGAGCGCGCTGGGCTCACAGCCTGGAGCTGCAGGCCGACGATTCTGGTGCACAGCCTGGCTTAGGGCTCCCTGGCCTAGAAGGATGGGATGAGACAGGGGTCCCTTCCTTAGGTGCGCAGGCGTAGGGGTTCGTGTCCCATCCCAAGGTGTGCAGCTGTGTGGCCCGGGAGCTTCTGCAACATAGGACTCTGCAGGAGAGGAAAAGAGGCTAGTATTTGTCAAAGCTCCACGGGTGTGCTATGTAATCTCAGTTAAGGAATAATTGAGGTTGGGCGCTTAAGTAGTTAGGAAGGAGGCCTTTGGAGTCTGGCACAACTGAGTCCAAGTCATGATTGCCTTGCACCACCTGGCAGCCATGAGCAAGCCACTTAACCTTTCTTGAGGTTCGGTTTCCACCTCTGTAAATGGGGCTAACGCAAGCCCCTTGTTCAGCTGTTGTAGGGACCAAATAAGATAATGTGAGGGATCAATAAATGCTAGTCACATGTCTAGTGCGGACTGATATATACCTCCTGATGCACAATATCACCGGTACAATTGTATTCGAGCCAAAAATGTTTAACCAGATTCTCATCAAAAGAAAGCAAATTGTAGGGTTTTTTTTGTTTTTTTTTTTGAGACAGTCTCACTTTGTTGCTCTGGCTAGAGTGAGTGCCATGGCGTCAGCCTAGCTCACAGCAACCTCAGACTCCTGGGCTCAAGCAATCCTACTGCCTCAGCCTCCCAAGTAGCTGGGACTACAGGCATGCACCACCATGCCCGGCTAATTTTTTCTATATATTT